GACCTTGGACTCTTGGGTCTTGGTGGGTCAAGGATGGGCCATCCAGGTTCTAGGTGGCCCAAGGGGTCTAGAGATGGTCCATCCTGGTTCTAGGTGGCCCAAGGGACCTTGGACTCTTGGGTCTTGGTGGCCCAAGGGGTCTAGAGATGGGTTGTCCTGGTTCTAGGTCTCCCAAGGGGTCTTGGATTCTTGGGTCTTGGTGGCCCAAAGGGTCTGGAGAAGGGTTGTCCTGGTTCTAGGTGGCCCAAGGGGTCTAGGGATGGGACATCCCAAGTTCTAGGTGGCCCAAGGGGTCCAGGAATGGTCCATCCTGGTTCTAGGTGGCCCAAGGGACCTTGGACTCTTGGGTCTTGGTGGCCCAAAGGGTCTGGAGAAGGGACATCCCAGGTTCTAGGTGGCCCAAGGGGTCTAGAGATGGGTTGTCCTGGTTCTAGGTCTCCCAAGGGGTCTTGGACTCTTGGGTCTTGGTGGCCCAAAGGGTCTGGAGAAGGGATGTCCAGGTTCTAGGTCTCCCAAGGGGTCTTGGATTCTTGGGTCTTGGTGGCCCAAAGGGTCAGGAGAAGGGTTGTCCTGGTTCTAGGTCTCCCAAGGGGTCTTGGACTCTTGGGTCTTGGTGGGTCAAGGATGGGCCATCCAGGTTCTAGGTGGCCCAAGGGGTCTAGAGATGGTCCATCCTGGCTCTAGGTGGCCCAAGGGACCTTGGACTCTTGGGTCTTGGTGGCCCAAGGGGTCCAGGGATGGTCCATCCTGGTTCTAGGTGGCCCAAAAGACCTTGGACTCTTGGGTCTTGGTGGCCCAAGGGGTCTGGAGAAGGGTTGTCCTGGTTCTAGGTGGCCCAAGGGGTCTAGAGATGGGACATCCCAAGTTCTAGGTGGCCCAAGGGGTCTAGAGATGGTCCATCCTGGTTCTAGGTGGCCCAAGGGACCTTGGACTCTTGGGTCTTGGTGGCTCAAGGGGTCTGGAGATGGGTTGTCCTGGTTCTAGGTGGCCCAAGGGGTCTAGGGATGGGTTGTCCTGGTTCTAGGTGGCCCAAGGGACCTTGGACTCTTGGGTCTTGGTGGGTCAAGGATGGGCCATCCAGGTTCTAGGTGGCCCAAGGGGTCCAGGAATGGTCCATCCAGGTTCTAGGTGGCCCAAGGAGACCAGGACTCTTGGGTCTTGGTGGCCCAAAGGGTCCAGGGATGGTCCCTCCAGGTTCTAGGTCACCCAAGGGGGCTGGGACTCTTGGGTCTTGGTGCCCCAAGGGGTCTGGAGATGGGTTGTCCTGGTTCTAGGTGGCCCAAGGGGTCCAGGAATGGTCCATCCAGGTTCTAGGTGGCCCAAAGGACCTTGGACTCTTGGGTCTTGGTGGCCCAAAGGGTCTAGAGATGGGTTGTTCTGGTTCTAGGTCTCCCAAGGGGTCTTGGACTCTTGGGTCTTGGTGGCCCAAAGGGTCCAGGGATGGTCCCTCCAGGTTCTAGGTCACCCAAGGGGTCTGGAGAAGGGTTGTCCTGGTTCTAGGTGGCCCAAGGGGTCCAGGGATGGTCCCTCCAGGTTCTAGGTGGCCCAAGGAGACCAGGACTCTTGGGTCTTGGTGGCCCAAGATGGGTTGTCCTGGTTCTGGGTGGTCCAAGGGACATCCCAGGTTGTTGGTGGCCCCATGGGGTGGGGAGATGGGTTGTCCCCCCCCACTTCCTGCCCCACATCCGGTGGGGTGGGGGTGGGGGTGGGGGTTCTGGACTCACGTAGATCATCCAGGAGGCGTAACGCTCCTTGAGGTTGTAGAGGACGGCGGGTTCGTGGAGGAAGGTCAACATGGCCATGTCCTCGATCTTGTCGAACTTGGGGGGGTTCTGCTGCATGATCTGGTCCTCCTTCACCGTCACCGTCTGCGGGGGGAGGGGAGGAGGAGGAGGAGGAGGTGACCCCGGTGGGGTGGATGGAGAAGGTCCAGGTGGCCCTCAAGGGGGTTGAGAAGGTCGAGGTGTCCCTCAAGGGGGTTGGAGAAGGTCGAGGTGTCCCTCAAGGGGTTGAGAAGGTCGAGGTGTCCCTCAAGGGATGAGGAAGGTGGGATGGGTTCTAGGTGTCCCTCGGGGGCTGGAGGAGGTGGGGTGGGTTCTAGGTGGCCCTCAAGGTTCTGGAGAAGGTTGAGGTGTCCCTCAAGGGGTTGAGAAGGTTGAGGTGTCCCTCAAGGGGGTTGAGAAGGTCCAGGTGTCCCTCAAGGGGGTTGAGAAGGTGGGATGGGTTCTAGGTGTCCCTCAGGTTCTGGAGAAGGTTGAGGTGTCCCTCAAGGGGTTGAGAAGGTGGGTGGGTTCTAGGTGTCCCTTGGGGGCTGGAGAAGATCGAGGTGTCCCTCAAGGGATGGAGAAGGTGGGATGGGTTCTAGGGTTCCAATGGGGGTTGGAGAAGGTTGAGGTGTCCCTCAAGTGGTGGAGAAGATTGGGGTGTCCCTCAAGGGGTTGAGAAGGTCGAGGTGTCCCTCAATGAATGGGGAAGGTGGGGTGGGTTCTAGGTGTCCCTCAGGTTCTGGAGAAGGTTGAGGTGTCCCTCAAGGGGTTGAGAAGGTTGAGGTGTCCCTCAAGGGGTGGAGAAGGTGGGGTGGGTTCTAGGTGTCCCTTGGGGGCTGGAGAAGGTTGAGGTGTCCCTCAAGGGGTTGAGAAGGTCGAGGTGTCCCTCAAGGCGTTGAGAAGGTTGAGGTGTCCCTCAAGGGGTGGAGAAGGTGGGATGGGTTCTAGGGTTCCAATGGGGGTTGGAGAAGGTCAAGGTGTCCCTCAAGGGGTTGAGAAGGTTGAGGTGTCCCTCAAGGGATGGGGAAGGTGGGGTGGGTCCTAGATGTCCCTTGGGGGCTGGAGAAGGTGGGGTGGGTTCTAGATGTCCCTCAGGTTCTGGAGAAGGTCGAGGTGTCCCTCAAGGGGTTGAGAAGGTCAAGGTGTCCCTCAAGGGGTTGAGAAGGTGGGATGGGTTCTAGGGTTCCAATGGGGGTTGGAGAAGGTTGAGGTGTCCCTCAAGGGGTTGAGAAGGTTGAGGTGTCCCTCAAGGGATGGAGAAGGTGGGATGGGTTCTAAGTGTCCCTCAGGTTCTGAAGAAGGTCGAGGTGTCCCTCAATGAGTTGAGAAGGTCGAGGTGTCCTCAAGGGGTGGGGAAGGTGGGATGGGTTCTAGGTGTCCCTCAGGGGCTGGAGAAGGTTGAGGTGTCCCTCAAGGGGTTGAGAAGGTTGAGGTGTCCCTCAAGGGGGTGGAGAAGGACGAGGTGTCCCTCAAGGGGTGGGGAAGGACGAGGTGTCCCTCAAGGGGTGGGGAAGGTGGGATGGGTTCTAGGTGTCTCCTGGGGGCTGGAGAAGGTTGAGGTGTCCCTCAAGGGATGGGGAAGGTGGGGTGGGTTCTAGGTGTCCTATGGGTTTCTAGAGAAGATGTTTGGGGTTCTAGGTGTCCTATGGGTTCTGGAGGAGGTGGGGTGGGTTCTAGATGTCCCTCAGGTTCTGGAGAAGGTCGAGGTGTCCCTCAAGGGGTTGAGAAGGTCAAGGTGTCCCTCAAGGGGTTGAGAAGGTGGGATGGGTTCTAGGGTTCCAATGGGGGTTGGAGAAGGTTGAGGTGTCCCTCAAGGGGTTGAGAAGGTTGAGGTGTCCCTCAAGGGATGGAGAAGGTGGGATGGGTTCTAAGTGTCCCTCAGGTTCTGAAGAAGGTCGAGGTGTCCCTCAATGAGTTGAGAAGGTCGAGGTGTCCTCAAGGGGTGGGGAAGGTGGGATGGGTTCTAGGTGTCCCTCAGGGGCTGGAGAAGGTTGAGGTGTCCCTCAAGGGGTTGAGAAGGTTGAGGTGTCCCTCAAGGGGGTGGAGAAGGACGAGGTGTCCCTCAAGGGGTGGGGAAGGACGAGGTGTCCCTCAAGGGGTGGGGAAGGTGGGATGGGTTCTAGGTGTCTCCTGGGGGCTGGAGAAGGTTGAGGTGTCCCTCAAGAGATGGAGAAGGTGGGTCAGGTTCCAGGTTCCCCATGGAGGCCAGAGACACCAGGAAGGTTCTAGGTGCCTCTAGAGACACCACCTCGGGCCTGGTGGCTTCTGAGCACCTTCTGGAGATGTTCCTCGTTGGGTGGAGGTGGGGTGGGGTTGGGGGGAGAAGGTCCTGACCTTGCCGTGCTCGGTCTGGGCGGTGACCTTGCCCCCCTCGCGGCTGACGATGGTGGCCTTAACGAACTCCTCCCGCTCGTCGGGGACGAAGATGTCCTTCTTCAGGTCGAAGGGGCGGGTCTGGGCGGCCAAACGCTCCTTCTCCGACTTCCGCAGGTAGGGGGCGGCCTCCCCGAACTCGGCCATCTCCACGTCGGGCATCTTGGGGCGGGGGAGGGGCTACGGGGCACCAGGGGGGAGGGGTCAGGCCAGCCCAGTCCCTCCCAGTCCCTCCCAGTTGGTCATTTCCTTTGGTGGCCCCATCATCTCCAGATCTTCCAAGGTTCTTCTGGCTCTTCCCATTGACCCATCCCCATCCCAAGCCCTTCCATGGAGGTTTCCACCCTTCTCCATCCATCCCAGTTGCTCCCAGTTCCTCCCAGTTGCCCCCCAGTTGGTCCCCAGTTCCTCCCAGTTGCTCCCAGTTGCCCCCGTTGCTTGGTGGCCCCACCATCTCCAGATCTTCCAAGGTTCTTCCAGTTCCTCCCATTGACCCATCCCCATCCCAAAGCTTT